CACAGTTCGAATACGAAACGAGACAGATTTAAATTATCTAAACAAAAAGTATGAAGTAGACTTTTGACTACGCAATAAGAGTCTGTCATTCAGACCAAGCAGTCTCACGATAACATCGCACAAGATAGTATCTCTAATATTGTATGATCTTATAAGATTAGATGAAAATCCTAAAAAATCCGTTTTCGTACAAAATCTTACGCTAAATCGCATCACAAGATTCTTGAAAGATCTTCTCGTCTCATAAGATATCACTATAAGATTATAGGAAATCTTATGTGACGGTAAGATCCTTCAAAAATGTTATAGTACGATTTGGTATAAGATTTCTGAGACCGTGGTTTTTTGTACGATTTCATCTGAACTTAAAAGACTTTATGTTTTAGTTTATTGATTTGAAAATTTTTTGAGACATAGGTAGTCTAGATCTTATAACAGTTGTAAGCATTCATATCTTATGATTCCAAGTTAGTATGTCTTTAAGTCTGATAAGCTCTCGCGTAACCGATATCATTTGTAGCTCAGCTTTGTAAGAAGTGTCATTTTTCAGTCAAAGATTTGCTCATATTACTGTTAAGTTAATAAAAATCTCCATAATTTCGTTTCTGAGGGTGTGGGTGTGGGTGTGTGTCAAGAAAAGACATATTCACACCCACACCCACACCCAATACAATTTGAGTATGGCTTCCTTATCAAAGTTACAATTGTAACGCGCTTTCTGAAAAATGTGTATTTTTTTGAAAATGTTGCTTAACTAAAGCATCTGGGGCACTTCAAAACAATCCTACATTTCCTACTGACCATCACTAAAACAAGTGTCAAAAGTGATCCGTCTAAGAAAATCCAGAGACTGATAGAGATCAGTATTTTACTGATTTACTACTTTGAGAATGTGTGTTTAGCCCATTTTTTCATAAAAAAAGAAGGCTTTTTGCCTTTTTCAGTCAGTATACAAAAGTTTGAACATCAATCGATGCGTCTTTAGTCATTGTTCAAGAGAATACTCGTGACGTTAAAAGTTTATCCAACAAGACAATTGGTGTCGACTACGCTAATTAATAGATTGCAAACGAACAGCCACGACCACGATGCATCATTTCATTAACGTCTCATTCAATACCTCACTAGCTAATGAATACTATCCGAGCCATCGATTACTAGATGAAAGATAAGTGTTCAAGTTGTTGACAGCAGTGCTATACTCTTGTATCATTTGAGATTTTCATTCGAAGTAAAAAGTTGTTTTTTATACTGTTACAGCTCTAACAAAGACTTCAAACATCATAGCAAAGAAAGTCAATATTTACATTTTAAGAAAGAAAAGAAAATTCATAGCATTGATTTTGCTGTCTTTCTAGAAAGTCCGCGTTGTTATCAAAATTCGTCTTTAAACGAATTTGAATGAGGTATTCTCAGAAAGCGTACTGGATCTTATACAGATTTTTCCTAAAGCACATCCACAGTAAACTTTTCAGACCAGCGGCTAGTCGTTCGTCGGTGCCCATCCAGGCCACCACTCACGACTAATCGCTCCTGTGCTTAAGTCTTTTTTCGCGAAAGATCATTCTATTTTAGTTACATTCTACCGAAATAACATTTTGCTCCGTTCCACACAACTATTGGATTATCAGTGACAGAATTTTCGATTGAAAATTGAAAATACTAGAGCTATTCTGAAATAATCTATAGATCTAATACTCTGCATCGACGTTAATGAAATATCAGTGTGGACAAGCTACTGATTGTTCAAACCCAAATAGATAAAACGAAGACCAACGAGAAATGCATAGCCACTTTACTTCTCTGGCTTACTGAAAAAACATGAAAACTCTTATTAGATTAATGTTATACTTAAAAGAACTGGTGTTCGACTGAAAATCTTGTCTTAATCAAACTGATAGGACGAATCTTACCTACGCAAGGTAGCGTATAGACTGAAGTTTCGGTTACACAATAAAGATTGGTTGACAGCTCGATATTCCCAATATTCCATGAATACAGAACTCACGAATTGAAAGCCTAACTGCACGACAACCTGATAGCGAAAATACAAATTTTTTAATTTTTTTCGGTATGACCCTCCATTCAGTCAAGAAAGAATCATTATTTTCGTAAAATAACCTTTCATTCTTGAAATAAATCACACTTAAAATTTTGAAAAACCGATTACAGATTCGGATTCTTTGATTCCGATTACATTTATTCAAACTTTATAGAAAATCTATATATATACATCGACACGTGATCGTACACGTTACTGCAAACAAACAACCAAACTCATTTTATTTCATATGACCCTTCCTTCGGTGGAGGCAATGAATGAATAATTTATTAAGTTTATTAAAATATGTTTTCCACCATTTAGAATCTATGATTTAACATCTCTTGCTATAAATATTATTTGAAAAATTCTGTATTAATGAGATGCATCTGGATGCCTCTAAAAAAAAAGAAGCAGAGAGAAAAAAACTTCAGAGGCTGACCTACTTTTGATAAATGCAAGGAAACTTCGTGACTTTTAAATAATGAGGTTGAACAGCAGTAAATTGTAAACGAGAAATTAATGAGTATAAGACTGCTACGAAAAATCTAATAATGTTTTTCGTAGCAGTCTTATACTCATTAATTTCTCGTTTAGTGACTTTTGTCTGGAATTATTCCTGTTCGACTCTAAGTCTTACTTAAGTTACTTAGAAGAAATGCATGAGACGACACCTGTTATTATTTTCCGTCGAAAAACTATAGTCATATTGTATTCGATATTTATTTAGCGCGAATCGAAACTTTAACCTTTTATTCTTTTCTAAATGAAATACATTCCATTCACGTGCATTCTCTATTCAACTACATTAATCTGCAATACAAAGATAAAAATGAGATAACGTATTGTTTCTATTTTTTATTATAAGCAAACGACAATTAAATAATAGTAAAAAACAACAAAAAAGTTTTACAACAACAAAACCCAATCACACATTTTTATTCATGAATAAAATATTATTTACAGTCACAAAATGTGTTACAAGTAACTGGAAAAAATGGTTTACATTTTACGAGTGATGATAGAAGACATTTGTCTCCCTAGTTACTGAATCAAGATGTTCTTGTTATTTCAGATTGCTCTAGTTGAAGCATTGACATCTATGATTGTTAATGGTGCGATAGGTCGTAATGAATTTCCAACTCTTGTTAATGGAACAATCCTTGGATCGTGTCGAGGCCATAGTTCAGGTAAACTAATTAATGAAACAAAAGGACATAGCAAAATCACAATATAAATACCATATGGTAAAATATTGATGCTCAATTCGACCAAGAAAGGTTGTGGAACTGGAGACAAAATAATAATTAACCAACAAATGATCATAGGCAGCCAGACAAGATTGTACAATATTACAATATATAATAATTGTATGAGAAGGCGTCGATTTTTTTTCCACATTTGACGTTGTTGCATGCGACGTTTTTGCCATACAACACGACTCAATAATAGAAGACTAGCAAGACTACTAACTACAACAGGAAAAATCATATCAAAAAATTCATCGAAAGTGCTAATTGTGGTTTCATAGAAATAGCAAGGCGCACCACATGTAAACATAGTATAAGTGAATTGATTAATACAAGGATAGAAAAATATTAAATAAGTATAGAGTCCTATTGGATAGATAATGCAAAGAATCATTGGTATATAGTGAAGAACAACTAAATGTTGCTCAAGAAATTGGCGATGAAAAACGAGTAAATAACGTTCGATTGCAGTGAAACCCATTAGCATTAAAATCGTCACATTAAATGAATAATCTTGATATATCCAAAACTTGCAAAAAATATCCGATTGTATAGGAACAAGATTATTTCGCAAATATGAAAGCATAATTGGTAACTCCGATGTCACCTTAATAGATTCAATAAAGAAAAGAAAAATCGAAAAGTTAAATCTACCTGTAGAAAACTGCAAACTAACACAGAGAAAACCGTATGAATCCGGATATGTTTGCGCAACATATCTTTATGAATACATTGGAAAAACATATATAAATAGCAGGGAATAGATGGAATTATAACAATAGTAAAAATCCAAAACATAACTGTATGTGATACGGACACTGGCATATTTACAGATGCATCAGTAGAAGTGCTGTTATTATAAACGGTCGACATGTTTGGAGGAAAATTTGTTCTCTAGAATGTATTGAGGTTATTACGGTATTTATATACTGACATATTCATGTTATTAGTTGCAGAATTGAGCCTCACCAGCATAGTTGCTTGTATGGCATAATTGTATCTATTGTATCATCATGAGCTTTTGTCATGTATCTTTAACGAGGAAACTCATCCAACTGATAATTTCCGCTTGAGCTTATATTTAGCTCATAGATATAGTTTCTATTGTAGATGACAACCTTGTTAGAGTTCGTGCCATTATCTCTGTATGTCAAAGAAGTCCGATAACAAGTTTCTATTAAAATGACATGATTATCGGATGTGGAAAAATGATTGCAACGCTTTCTTATTTAGCGCATATCTCAGCTTATAAAAATGATAAAATCTTTATTATTTTTTTAAATGCACCACGAAGCGTTCTACAAAATTCTATCAAATAAATATCTATTGATTTGATCTAATGATTTCTCCATGATCAAAATAGATTACCTCTATGATTATACTATTTCCTGTCATATTGAATGTACTATACTGGACATCATTTATCGGATGACTTTGTTTTGCGAATAACTATTATCTAAATGTGTTGTTCGAAAGAGCGTCAAACGCTGCATCAAATATCAGATTGTTTAAAATTTCACGAAAAATGTTTTTCGGTTTTTGAGAGGTAATTTTCTGAAGAAATAAGAACAGTATGTCAAATTTTCCACAAAGTAACGATGATTTTTTCACATAAAAGTTTACTTTAAAAGTTACGAGTTACCAAAATGTAGCTCGTCTTTTCCTCTTTCCATTGATATGGATTGAATCCTTTTCAAACATTTCCGACAAAAAATAACTGAGCTTAAAAAATCGTTCGAAGAAAACTACTCCAACAGAAAATGACTGCTGCTCATTGTTGTATGTGGGTGTGGGATGTGGCTGTGGCTGTGAGATGAGGGTGTGGAGTGTGGATGTGGATATTGTTTTCTCTTCAAGCACAACAGCATCCACACCCGCACCCACACCCACCCACACCCTTTTCGATATGAAGAATTGTTATATATTAGAAGAACATCAAATCTGTTTTGTGATGATGGACAAACATGTTTGTTAAGCTCAACACGTTGTTGGAAAAACGGTCGGGACATATTCGTAAAAGAAATTTTACAATCATATGACGAAAACAAACACTTAATGTATCAATTTAGATTAGTACGAAGTGCAAAAAAAAGTGACCCCTCGAGATAAAAATGTAACTAAATATTTATTTATGATAACAAAAGAACTAAATCATATACCAACAGTAACTATAGTGAATGTACAAATATACAATATATACAAAAACAATTTTATACAATCTTAAAATTGAAGAATTAAAATAGAAGAATAGTTGTTATTTTCCACCTATGTAGAACTATTTCTTCATCATATATTTGAGAATTTAATTTTAAGAGGGGATTCATCAGATCACTCATCAAGCATGCATACGAAAAATTGTGATTTTAAAATAAGTTACACCATTCGAAAGCCCGTGAAAAGCTATGCTCAAACCCGAACTTTTAGCTCTTTCTAAAAATCCTATGAGATGATATGAAAGGATCTTTGGATCCACCCTCGGGTACTATTTTAGAAATTTTCGAAAATTTTGATGAATTTCAGAGAATTCTATTCAACACTTTATGACAACATCTATTATCATTAAAGATCCCTCTTTTTACTAATAGTTAACGTATCTTGATTAGAGCTGCTAAATACACCATGATGGAACAAGATTCTTAAATATAAATCATGTCTAAAGAGTCTCTAATGTGTTATTTTTAACTCAACAAATAGACAAAAAGGATAATTTTTATGAAAATTTTTCTATTTTTGCTCTGAAACTATGCCAGAGCAATTCCATCCCCAAAATCTTTTAGCATCTTAAGAAAAGTCATCAAAAATTGCATCTTTTTGTATATAACTCAACAAGATAAAATGTGGCGAGCTTATTTAATCTTTGAGCGCAAAGAAGATCACTACCATGTGAAATAGTTTCACATAGGTGAAAAATAACAACTTTTATTTTATTTTAATTTTTCAATTGTAAGATTGTATATTTGTACATTCACTATAGTTACTGTTGGTATATGATTTAGTTCTTTTGTTATTATAAATAAATATTTAGTTACATTTTTATCTAGAGGGATCACTTTTTTTTGCACTTCGTACTAGTTAGTCGGATAGATAGGCACACTGCTAGGTAGATTTGTAGGTGAGTTAATGGGTAAAGAGATGGATCTATCTATCTGCGTATCAATTATTAATATTACATGAATCGCTCATATGGACAAAAAATTCTCGGAAAAAAA